ACACCAATCATTTCCGCCAGAGTTTCCAGCTGCAGCAGAGACAGAACATCATCGTTACCACTGCATCCACCACCACCACCATTATCTTCATCTCTCCGGCCTATTATCGTCTGAAAGAGAGCATCTAACACAGAGTCCCTCGTATTGCACCCCCTACGCATCCCACTAACACCTCTACTACAAAAGCCGAAAATTGGAAAAATAAAATAACAAAATAGAAAAAAAAAAACCATGGAACTACATTAGTCTGAAGACAAAAAAAAAAGAAAGAAATTCAGCCGCACTTTTCTCCTTAACATTTACAACAAAACAGTGTGGATTATTCTTATATATAAATATATATTTTTTCTGCACGACGTGGGGATCATTACGACACCCCACTTCACTCTTGCTCTCACACAGCGCTGGCACCCATTTCCCCTCGAGTTAGCGAATGTGAGAATAGATTTACTGTTTCATCATGACAAATGACATATTATTTGGGTNCTCTCACACAGCGCTGGCACCCATTTCCCCTCGAGTTAGCGAATGTGAGAATAGATTTACTGTTTCATCATGACAAATGACATATTATTTGGGTGGTCTGACTCGCACCACCTTACCGATTCGTCACACGCATCATCTTCGCAGGGTCAGTGCGACTCACACAGTTGCACACAGTATGAATGTTGCAGTGTCGCTCACCCGTCTTCACCCACTTCCCGCCCTTTTTCTGTTTCACCGAAAAGCTAACATCGCGACTGTGAATCATCTTAAGATCTCCTCTTTTTCGCTTGATTTTCCCGTTCTTCGTGAGCTTGCGCGGGCGGTCGGCCATGGCCAGCTTGCGCTTTTGCTTCGGTGCCTTCTTCGTGCGCTTTCCCATCCTTCCTTCACCTGCTATTCCCTTCCTTCCAGTGTCTCGACAGAGTCCTCACAGCCCCAGGTAACCCGCACCCACTCAGCACAACCTATACACAAAAGAATAAAAGAATAAAGAAAAACCAACAGAAGAGAAGCAAGAGTCAAACTAACACAACATCAGCACAAACGAAGGAGAGGGTGTTCCTTGCAGACGCAAACGCAGAACGACAGAGGAAACAGGCAAAAGTCATGATATTATCAAATGATCAGGGTCCCCAGGTCAATATATCCCACGAATGAGTTCCTTTCGTTTTCACTGATTTTTTTGAACTGAAGAAAAAAATGAACATCATATTAACCCTTGAATATCACAATTCACCAGACATTTTTTATAATCATCTCATTACACCACAGTGTGTAATCATTTAAGTTTTTTACCAATACAAGCAGAAAACAAAACAAAAAAAAAAGTATTACAACAGACTTTTTACAGTAATATAATCAAGAAAATAAAAACGACATTGGTAAAGAGAATGGAGAACTGGCAAAACAAATATGAAGCGTAAATTATACAACAGTAAAATTGTTCTGGGTTACAAAGAAAAGTATCAGAGAAAGGAGAAATTATGAAATAAAAAAAAAAAAANAATAACACAACATCAGCACAAACGAAGGAGAGGGTGTTCCTTGCAGACACAAACGCAGAACGACAGAGGAAACAGGCAAAAATCATGATATTATCTACGACCAGGGTTCCCAGGTCAATATATCCCACAAAAGAATTCTTTTCGTTTTTATTGGGGTTTTCAACTGAAAAACAATAATGTTTTCGAGAGAAACACATTATTTTTACTCCTGATTTTTACCATACACCTGACTTCATTTTAATCATTTCATTACACGACAGTGTGTCATCATTTGAGTTTTTTACCAATACAAGCAGAAAACAAAACAAAAAAATACTACAACAGGCTTTTTACAGTAAGGTAATTAAAGAAATAAAAACGACATTGGTTAAGAGAATGGAGAACTGACAAAACAAATATGAAGCGTAAATTATACAACAGTAAAATTATCATACACTGATAGCACGACTTCCGTACAAGGGGAAATTATAAAATATAACATAAACAAAGAAAAGAAAAGAGGTGGAGTCAATATAAAAAAATCTACTACTGTGCGCAGTAACTGACAGTTAAATGGTTATCCTTTCTTCTAGCAGAAGCTAGACTTGTTATAGGTTATTATTTCTGCCATTAGTTGGAGACCACTGTTGAGTATCTGGTGATGCAGGCTCCTCCTCCTCCTCAGATTTCGACAGCTCCTTTTCTTTACTCGTCTCAGCTT